TTCTCCACTGACCTGGGTGTCTGCAAAGTTCTCTCCCTCATATCTTGCTCTCCTTCTCAGCTGCAAAATCTCCTCTCTCCATTTTTTTTCCCTCTTTCTCAAACATGTTATCCCAGAGGCACTACCACCATCACTGTTGGGCTCAGCCTTGGCCAGTAGTGAGTCCATCTTGGAGCTGGCTGGGATTGGCTCAAATCTCCTCTCTCCATTTTTTTTCCCTCTTTCTCAAACATGTTATCCCAGAGGCACTACCACCATCACTGTTGGGCTCAGCCTTGGCCAGTAGTGAGTCCATCTTGGAGCTGGCTGGCATTGGCTCTATCAGACATAGGGGAGGCTTCTAGTAGCTTCTCACAGAGGCCACCCCTGCAGCACCCCCACTTCCAAAACCTTGCCATGGAAACCCAATACAGCTCAGTGACAATATCTTACTTTTTAAATAATGAGGTTATAAGACATGAAATGCAGTTATATTTACTGGTTGGATCAAATTATTTTATCCTCAGAAGTTTATTTTGATATGTGTAATACAATTAAGGTATTGATGAAAAAGTGCATTTCTTTGAAAAAAAGGAAACTGTATTAATCAATAATTCAGTTAACTTCTTTAGCTTCAGTTAACTTTGCCTAAGAGTTATGGTTTTGTGCCAGTAGGAATAGGCACAGCTGTTAAAAATTCATTTGCCTTAGCGTGATTGTCACTCCCATGCAAAAATGAAGCCATTCCTGGAATCTGAGCAAAGTAGTTTTTTGCCCGGATATGCTTATGTTTTATTCTGTGAATAAATGCTGCTTCATAAGCCTGAAAGAAAAAAAAAATCCAAATTCCATTAAATGCAATGAGCAATCTACATGTTGCTTCATATTTTAGACAGTATAAACAGTCACCTTTTAGTAAATTAAGCCAGATAATTTACTCGTATATGATACAGAATGAAACATTTTGTAGTTCTATGCTGCTACCTTATGGCCCACATTACTAACCACTCCTTGTGAAATAGTAGTCACCTTTTAAAAACAGAAAAACTGCTGGCATTCTTTTATCCATTCAAGGTAAAACTGATATAGTTCTTTTCAGGTAAGGACATTTGTACTTACCTCTGAAAATTAAAAAAGGCAATGCTTAAGTATCAACATTTGTAAGGTGATGACTATAGGAAATTTCCTTGATAAGAATCAGAGTATTTATTTACAAACAGTCATGGCAGCAAGCATTTTGCAGCTTTTCAGTCAGTCTTTGTGTTCACTGGCAACATTTTCCTAAATTTCTAGTCATCAGTACTAGTTCAAATGATGTAAATAGTGACCAGAATATTTAGTTGGAAAAACCCTTTGCTATTGCTACAGTCATTGTTATGAGTAACTGCTATTAAAGGAAGTACTTGAGAGGCCTTCTTTTGTTTCAGTGAATGATACAACTTACGACATTCTAACTTTGCCACATTTTCTTCATTTCACATTCTTTTTTTTGTTGAAACAAAGTTTTGGCCATTACCAGTGAAGAAGGTGACTCCTTGCTATAGCTGGTCCACTTCCATTTTTTCAACAAGAGCTAGATGAAAACACCTTATGATTTTTAGGTAGGTTTGCATACCTTTCCTGTTGCTCTTCTGCATAATGCCCTAACCTCCCCTAAAGCTCTGGACCTAATTAAGTTAAGGGCATCTCCTTTACTATGGCATCCAGACTTATAAAGTTAAACCAGGTAAGTGCATTGTCAGAATCATTGCCTGCCATAATGCTAGTAACATAAATTTATGGATGTGGAGAAGCATCACTACATTCAGACTACCTGAGCAGCCTTGTTGACTCGTTGACTCAGAGTGAGACAGAGGAGCCAGTAAAGGAATTTCCATCTTGAAATTGATTTTACTTCTTAAAGTTAATGCTGACATAAACATGTGTCTGCTTGAAGACACAAGCTGGGTGCACACAGACAAAAATATCATAGATAGCAGAATTTCCTTTACCTTTAGAATTCCCTAACTGATATTTAGTCCCCAAAGCAAACCTTGCATTAAGAGAGCAATTCATTTGCTCTGTCGCTTAATTATCACATCACCTTAAGACTTCCAGAAGATGGGCAATGCGTAACAGCAGAAGTTGCATTTGTGATGCACACACGCCGAGTTAGAAATTGAATTAAGAACACCCTGAACAAAAGGACACCATACAACAACGACCTTAGTTCACTACTTACATAAATCAATAACCTGGAGGTGAGAGGCTTAATAATCCATTACTAATTGCAGGACAAACACAGCTCACAGGATTTTCCTACGCCTTAGAAAACTAAATACTCTACCACATGATGTCTGGTGGAATGAGGTATTTACCAGTCTGTCATGTTTTGATATGGAGTTTGGGAGGAGTGGTGCAAAAATACAGTTTCACTGACTTCTTTAACAAATTAAGTTTTTTAACTCAGAACAGCAATTATGGTTTTATTGCAAACTATAAGATTACATTGCCAGAAGTATTTAAAATACATCTATGGAAGAAAGTAAACTGAGATTAATTTTATTATGACAAATGATTCAGTTCTAGACAAAGAGCTATTCTGTCACTTGAGGATAAAATTGTGAGACCAGAAAGTAATGAGGACAGAACATATGCAAGAGCACAGGCACACAATTGTCACAGTATTTATGGTCAGTCTTTAATATGTTTTTCATCCAGGCCAGCTCTTGTCTGATCTCAGCTGAAGGAATAGAATTCACATGGCAGGGTTCTCAGTAGGCAGCATGGATGAGGCCACTTAGCTTCTTGTATTTGGGGAGAGAGAATCAGGACCAGAGTTTAGGTACACGGGTGTGAGCTGTACTATGCCTGCTGCCCTCTGACTCGCACCTGTTTTATTTAATAGTACCAATGCAATCATTTAAATAGTCACAATGGGCCAATTAAAACATGGATGAATGTAGGAACTAAATTTGGCCAAACATCATTAGTCACAGGATTCTATTCAAACATAACTATCGTAAAAAAATTAAGCCCAACAAATTTTACCTTCTGAAGGTTACAGAGCTTAAGATGTGCATCTGCCTCATCTTTAGTGAGGAGAATAGTGTTCCATGGAGACCACTCATGGTGCTTATCCCATCTGACCATAACCAAATCATAGAGGTCACTGCAGGCACTGAGAGCTGACTGGCAGCCCCATATGTTCTCAATCATGTACTGCAGATCTTGATGCTGAAATGAAAAACAGTGTTAAGAATCAAGGAACATGTTTCATTCTACAACAAAAGCACTGTAACCATATAGGAATCCACATCAAGCTTTGAGTAAAAAATTTTTCTATGCATATGTCATATAATCACTTAGTTAAAGAATGTCTAGACACACACATCTTCCTTTAGCACTGTATGGCAATTATTAACGGCATTTTTCTTGTATCATCTCTAAAACACTACATTCTTACTTTGATTGTCTCTGCCAATGACAATTCCTGTCTTCTATTGACATCCTGATTGTTGAACTGCTCTTATAAAGCTTCTTAAATCTCATGGTTTTTTTCCCCATGTAGCATGCCTAAGCCAGTTCAGACCTTTTTGGCTAAAAATAATACATCCCTGTCATTACTGAGATGACTTTACCATTTCATTCTTAGATTCAGAATTGATGTTATCCAATAAATGAGTTATTGCTCTACTAAATTACTTAAAGTTTACATATAATTGAATAAACTGTCCTGGAAAATGTGGGCAATTAGGACAAGAAAAACTTCCGCCTGTGACAGACCCCAAATCACTGCCTGCTTTCTTTCCTTCCCCTCACTCTGCCTTTGACACATGGAGATTTTATTGTGCTCATGATACTGTTGTTCATTTTACCAAATGAGATTATAAGATCAGATAGCTATGCCACAATATTAAAAAAAAAAAAAAAAAAAAGAAGGTGTATTTGTAAAGGTTCTCTAGTACAGAAAGGCCTTTAAGTGTACTTAAAAAGGGTGGTAGTTACCACTGAAGTTTGGCAAGTTTTTCTGTCACTCTCCATTAATATTTTTCCCTGTATTAGAAGATTAGAAAATTATTAGAAGATCTTTATCTACAGGATAAGTTCTGTAAACTAAGGAAAGTTCCAGATTCTTAAATAGGTTTTCCTCCAAGGTAGCTGTTTGAAGAAAATTAGTTTCTCTAAAAAGAAATCTTGACTTAATTCATCAAATAATGGTGTTTGCATGTTACTTATTAAATTCCTGACAAAGAATAAATGCAATTATACCAAGACCGACTTTCAGTGAAATGCAGCCTCATGTACTCTCATCAACCTTGCTTCCAAAATCCAGAATCCCATGTAATTTCTTGCCAGGGAAAATGTAAGACAAAAGCTGGGCTTAGAACCTCCACTGGTAACAAATCTGTGCCTACTGATTCCAGGAATATAGTAGCACTCCTACAATCTGGTCCTACAGGGCCTCCCTTATCAGGTTTTGCTAACTGGCTTCTGTTTTCAGTGTTCGCTTCTTTTCACAAAATTTTAAATAACTATTGTATCTTTTTCTTAGAAGCCAGAAATTTGCAACTATACTAGCAAGTACTACTATTTCTGTGCTAAGCCACACATCTCAAAAGTTACCCAAACTAGCAAATATCTATACTGAGGTAGATGGGCCCATATCAAAATATCCATAATTTGACTCTTCCCTTTCCCTGGATTACATTCTTAGCTGCCTGAAAAACAGACAAAAGCTTGTTCTGTGTTAAAACTTCCCTGATTACAGGAAAGAGTTTGATTGAAGAGACTTCTGCACTTTCTAAAGGTAGGCATGCATTTCACTGTGAAATTTTACAGTTAATTAATTTGAAATTAGGCTTAAGTGGATTAGGGGGCAGAAGGTGTGGGGAGTGGAAGGAAAAAAAATCAAGTAGCTCGGAAAAAAATTAATAATTTAAGGAAATGTTGGGGGGGGGGGGGGGAGGAGGGGGAAACAAGTGAATTAGTGATTTAAGATACAAACCTCTGTTGTTTCAATATTTACAACCCTAAAGAGAAGAACTTGAAGTTCATTCGGATGAATATGACACAACATCTAGAGATGTTGCAGTGTAGTTGCACAACAACCACAAAGAGAACTGCATGTGAGGGCTTTCGGTGTCAGCAGCTAAGAAGCAGTCATACCTCTAACTTGAAATTTTGAGAGACAATATTAGAATTCCAAAACTTATGAAAAAATACAGCTGTGTTCAAATTAGAGGTCCCACTGAGTAGCTATTACAGCAGTATCAAATAGCAGTTCATCCAGGCTTTCAAGAAATATTTTAAGTCTATAAACAGGCAGTGCAAAACCACTCAGATTTACTCAGGAAGTTACAATACCAGTATGAAGGAAGTAAAAACACTCTGGCAGGAAAAAGATTGTTCCTATTCAGTAAAGAAAGCCTGCCTACATAGTGAGATCTCATTAAGTACCTGGTTCCCCTATTTAACAGCTTCTTTGAAAGCCTTCCACCCTCAAAAAGCATGGTCAGGTGATTAAAAACGCAGCAAAAAGATGCCACAAGCGGCACGAGCATATTTATACAGTGTTGAACTCATTTGATACCCTTCCTCGATAAGGTCACCTGCCTAGTGGAGGAAGGGAAGGTGGGGGATGTAGTTTTTCTCGATTTTAGTAAGGCTTTTGATACTGTCCCTCACAGCATCCTCCTGGACAAGTTGTCCAACTGTGAGATGAGCAGGTTCATAGTGCACTGGGTGAAGAACTGGCCGAAGGGCAGAGCTCAAAGGGTTGTAGGGAATGGGGCTACACCTGGCTGGTGACCAATCACCATTGCTGCTCCTCACGATTCAATTCCAGGGCCAGTTCTGTTCAATGTATTGACCAACCATCTGGATGCAGGAACTGAATGCACCATTAGCAAGTTTGCTTATGATACCAAACTGGGAGGTGCTGTTGACTCTCTTGAAGGACAAGATGCCTTGCAGAGGGATCTAGATAGATTGGAGCATTGGGCTGTGGTTAATGGGATGCAGTTTAAGAACTCCAAATGCTGGATTCTGCACCGAGGACAGCGTAACACCAGGCACAACTATAAACTGTGAGAGGAGTGGCTGAAAAGCAGCCCTGCAGAAAGGGAACTTGGGGGTGCTGGTCCAGAGGAGGCTGAATATGAGTCAGCAGTGTGCCCTGACAGCCAAGAGGGCAAACCGACTCCTACGGGATTTCTGTCAGTGTTACCCCTGGTCCAAGGCATCTAAGTGCCACCCAAACTCTTTTTCACTGTTTCATCTTGGCGTTTACCAGACAGAAGGAGGCAACAAAGCTGGTGAAAGGGCTGAAGAAACATCCTATGAAGAGTGGCTGAAGACTTTGGGCTTGTCCAGTTTGAAGAAAATGAGGTTGAGAGGCAACCTCATTGCTCTCTTCAGCTTCCTGAGGAGGGGAGAGGGAGGTGCTAATCTCTTCTCCCTGGTATCCAATGGTAGGATGTGTGGGAATGGTTCAAAGCTGTGCCAGGGAGGTTTAGACTGGATGTTAGGAAGCATTTCTTTACCATGGGGATGGTCAAGCACTGGAACAGGCTTCCTAGAGAGGTGGTTGATGTCCCAAACCTGTCAGTGTTATGGGCATTGTCCATATGCATCTTAAACAACATGCTTTAGCTTTTGGTCAGCCCTGAATTGCTCAGGCAGTTGGACTAGATGATCATTTTAGGTCCCTTCCAACTGAAATAGTCTATTCTGTATTTCAGTGCATTAATGGCCACTAGCCATCACAAGTGATGTGGTGTGAGAGAGGTCCAAAAGTTTTTGGAGGATGTTTACATATTAAGATAAATTAAGTTAGACACAGACAAAAAAACTTTTCAGCTTAAGTGAAAACCAATATGGATGAACAACATCTACAAAATCCAGGTCCTTTGATAATATTTCTTAACACAAGCATGATAATTAAAGAATCCCAGTCTTCCTTTTGGCATCTGCCACCGGCAAAATGCTAAACCACAGCATGGTATGTTTTGGTAGCAGTGGGATATTGATGACTGGCTTTTGTTTGCTTGGTTATCGTTTCAGACATACTACACAATACAGTTCAAAAACTGTTCTTTGAATGTTGATGCTGCAGACGTTTTTATTACTAATTCTCAGAAAGTTCAAATAAATATCAGCAGTTTCATGTTTTCAATAAATTACACTTAGTAATTACCTTAGGTTTAAAACTTTCCCAGTGGATGTCAAATTCCTTTGTTGACAAAGTAAGTAATAACAACTAAAAGAGAGAATTTGCTGAAGACAGAGGCAAGAAGTTCTTTGACTGAGTTGTTTCAGTAATGATTATTAAGAAACATTAGCTACTTGGTAATATTGCAGAAGATTACAGATGATGGTAAAAAAATTAGAACACTAAATTATCTAGTGAATCCTTCTTCTAATAAGTACAAAGCAGTAAAACTTCCAACTATACAGATATTTCACTGAAATAGGAGTGTCAGAACCTCGGTGTCTATTTTTTTTCCTACTGAGAAAATGAAACAATTTACTTGCATTACTAAAACAGTTCATATAATGGGGCTCAAAATCTTTTTCTAGCATTATGTCCTGAACAATATTATAGTCGCAAAACATTAATCTCTCTTTACAGATGATGCCAGTATCTTTAAAGAAAGGTTTAAGCAACAGGATGGCCATAGCAGAACCAGAAGAAGAATTTGGATCATCTGATTCATTTACCTGTCAGCCAGACTTCTACCTTCTTTTAATGTATAGCTTGTAAACACTTTAGAAAGTACAGCTATACTTCAAGAGCTTAAGTGCTGCTTCTTTATGGTATGGAACATTCCATATCACAGGAAGAAGTTTTTGTAGCTTTTACCCTATTTCTCCACCTGTCAACAGCCATAAAGGAAAAATTATAGCCAAAGCCACTGGTTTCAGTTATTAGCAATGCTCTTTCAGACAGTACCTGAACTAAGAAAACGATTTTAGCATCATCCTGGTAATCAGCTTCAGATTTTCTGAGATTTTCTAGTATAAGTTTGTACTTCAAAAATGCTGCTCGCCGCCGAGCCTCATTATCAAGCTTGCAACACAAGCGACATCTGCCAATGGTGCGGGAATTAGCAGGAACAGGAAACTCAGTAGATGATAAGTAATTTTCGCAACTGTGACAGAAGTTAACATTTTTATAAAGCTTTAAGGGATCTGGTGGAACCTAAAAGATGTTAAAAAAAAAAAGTTAATTTACCATAACGTATCTTTGTGTTACTTGTGTGTCACTAACTCTATCGGAATATATTTTACATATATTCATGCAAGTATTCTAACATGTAAAATCTGGTAATATTTATTTTTAAATAACCAATAGTTTGTGTGTTTGTGGGGTTTTTTTTACTTTATTTTTAAATAGAAGACCAAAAGCCATTCAAATCAGTCAACTCATTTTTAAGATATACAAAGATCCTAGACATCATGCTCCAGCGCTCTTGCTGGCTCTTTAATGTATGCAGATTGTCAGCCATTCTGGAAAGATGACACCACAGAGAAAAGAGAAACTGATTCTTCTGCATTTAATTTTTCACACGGAATCTGCCCTTTATGTCAAAGATAAAACCCTGAGATTATTGGCATATTACTATTTTGGCCTAATATAAAATCATCAGAGCCACATGTCCAAAAGCAATGTAGGGGAATATAATTAAATATGCTAATGACCTCTTTAACCTCATATCGCTTGATGGATTTTTGGAAAGAATAGTGTAGTCTGTGCAGAGGGCCCAAGTCTTTAACAGGGTAGTTTGAGTAGTCTGATAATCCAACTATCTATTGTAGTCATCTGCCCTTTTTTGAAAGTACCCTGAGGATTTGGTCACTTTGACTGTCTGCTGATGAACTGCCATCTTTTTTTATGGTCTACAGAAGGTTACAAGATTTAAATAAAAATACAGGTGGAATTCAGCCTTCGTCAAGGTACAGTTAACCAAAAGCTACAGAAGACAAACATGTCTCATCTCTAGTCTCTGCTATGACACATCTAGGTAACTCTGTTCATAAACTTAGTGTAAAATAACTGTTAGCTGGTGCTAAATCCCAGTAATATTTACTGACAGATTCTCTACTCCTGAGATACCATCAACCATGCAAGAGGAATCTTTTTCTGATAGACGCAGTGCTCCCAGCCACTTTTCAGGTTCTTATAACCATGTCTATGCTCCATGCTTCCTATATTGCTATATAAGGTTATGTGTGTGAAGCCTGTGTAACTTGCTACATTTTACTTCTTGAGGAGCTCCTCCAGAACTTCTACAATAAAATGTAAAATTAAAAAGTTTTCATTGTTTTCCCCTTCTCCAGCATCCTTAGTTCGATGGCCACCATGTCAGACTGCAAAACAGGAACAATACCTTAAGTATCTGAGCAACTTCAGGGTTAAACTTTGGAGTTTTAATATACTGAAGAAATAATGTACAAATTCTTTTTCTCAGTCCTTCTAAGTTGCATTCTTTCACCTCTCTCGACATAAGATCAACTTCCCTGTCAATTAATTCCACTATTTCCTGTGTTAATTTACATTCATGTTCCTGAAAGAAAACATAAAGAAAAAGGAAAACAAACTCCACAACAATAAGGAACAAACAAACAAGTTCTGATGCAGATATGAAAGCGAATTATAGATTATTTGTTAATCATCATACATACCCCTGCATGTTCATGTAAGAACATGTTCATGTAAGAACTCCTTAGTGTCTTAGGAAAACAACCTCCAAGAAAATTGATGTAAAGAACTAAAAATTGAGAATGCTTACAGATCCTGCTTTAAGGGGCCTGTACATAAAGCTGTGAGGAACTGTAAACATGGAAGCATTAAAAAAAGCTAGGCAGAGAACACATGCAAAGTTTTCATTCTCCAAAAACCCTAAGAAATAATGTCCCTAAGGAGCTTCCTTTGGCTGTGTGATAGTAGGTGTGATGTATATACACAGCAAATGGCTAAAAGAACCCAAAACACCCACCCCAACCCCCCCCCAAAAAACAAACAAACAAACAAAAAAAAACGTACAAAAGGCATGGGAGACTTTATGAGTATGCTTGGAAATTAGGCATTTCAATATTTCAAATGCTTAGTGGGAGATTCTCCAGAAAGAGACAAGAGGTGAGTAAGTTGAATGTTTTCACAGCAGGAATAAAGTGCTAATTTACAGAAATTCCAGAATTTATTCACTACAGCAATAGTGACTTGTGTTAAGATGGGCAGTTCATAAGCCATCAATGGTCTCAGTGCTATGCTGGCTTGAGGTCAAATTCTGGTACCACCAAAGCAAACAGCAAGATGTTTGTTGGAAGCAGCAGGAAGCAGCATTCTATCTATTCTAGTCTGACATCAACAGTACCATCCTGAAAGTACCTTGAAACACAGATTATTAATTTTGTACATGAATAAATAAGTTTTTAAGAACAAATATGAAAGACTAAAAGAAGTGCATCCGGCTTCTAATACACTGGATACACTGGTGGCAGCAGTGGGGGTGGGGAGTGAGGGTCAAAGAAAAAACAAATAAAAACCATATTTGCCAGCCATAAAACTGGTAACCCAAACCAACAGAGAGAGACTTCTAATCAGACATTTCGAAGAACTGAGGAAAAACATAGCAATAGCCACTTACATGTCTGATATGGCTTTCATCGTTACTATAAATATTAAGGTAGAATTGTACTAGAATTGCATTATGTATTAATATACAAAGAAGTCTAAAACCATGGGGTTAAAATTCTAACACAACCTGAAGAAATATGTGCACATCCTACGGTGAGATATGAATTTAAGTATATACAGAATGTAAATTACACTGTCACACCAGGTGGTTCGCTAGGCTTTCCCTTGCTGCCAGCTCATCATCCTGGCACCTGTTTGCCAGAAGAAGCACTGCTTATGTGTCAACATAATTAAGTCACCGTATCTTTGGGAAGTACAACTTCAAGCTAAATGTAAATAGAAAAATAAAACATACCTTCACTGTATGCCTCAGCGTTAACAGTACATCTATTCTCCCATCTTTTGGGATGTCATTCCTATTCAAATAGTTCTTTGGCGCGGAGTGTGTACTGTGTATCCATTTCGGTGATTCTTCCATCATACGCTTTCCATCTCTTGGGCTGCGCACACTTCAGAAACAATTTGTATACCTCTGAGCTACTATAATCTGATCAACAGCTGAACAAGTGCATTACGTTACATCAGGTTTCACCAGAGCAAACAGGGAGTTAACATGAATGCCTGACTAATGCAAAAGGCTAATTCTGTCGTCGGTATTTATACAGTACCTTTTCCACCAGAGCAAATATTCAATTGCACACTTTGTTTAAAGTTGCAGGTCATGAAAATTTTGACTTACAGTATATTAAAAGTAAATAATATTCTCCTACAGGGATATGCTCTACTTCTTTAAAGCAAATTTACTGACAGTAGCGTTAGAATACATTTGCTCTGTATTTCATCTTGCAGTCATAAATCCCTCTAAACTATCAGTAAAAATCAATTGGACTGTTGACTGTGTAAAGATTTCAAATTTAAGGCCTCAGAGTCTACTGCAGTACAAAATATCTCCAGGGAACTGTTCAATTTATGCTGGCTGTACAGACAGAGAGAATGCACAGACTTTGTTAAAGCCGACTAAGGCAAAGTATGGGTTTACAGCTTATCGGATACTTCAGCTAGCTTCTTGTTTGCTAACTTAACCACACACCATATGCCTGCTACTTCAATTGTCTGTTTTCACATCTTTAACTTCTATAGACACTGAGAAGGTACATAGAGGATTGGTTTTGGTTGCAAACCACACTGTTACATAGGGGGTTGGTTCACTGTGGGGGTCAGTATCTAAATACAATAGTTCTTCACAGAGAGGGTGGTGAGGCACTGGAACAGGTTGCCCAGAGAAGCTGTGGATGCCCCATCCCTGGCTGTCTTCAAGGCCAGGCTGGATGAGGCTTTGAGCAACCTGGTCTAGTGGAAGGTGTCCCTGCCCATGGCAGGGGAGTTGGAACTAGATGATCTTTAAGGTCCCTTCCAACCCAAACCATTCTGTGATTCTATGAATAGAAAACTAGTATTCAAAACCCTCTCCGCATCATTACTAACTCCAGCCCCTTTCCTTAATCATACACTGGGGCAGCTCTTTGGAACCCCATTCTGTGTATGAATTATTGTTTTTCACTGTATTTAGAACATGAGTGTTCATAAACACTTGTGAACATCACTTTGCAATCTCAGTGCGAGTTAATTACAGCAACACTTCATGCAGTGTTCAAATGCCAAGTAGCTTTCTGGATATGACCCCAGCATTGACGTAATCATTATTTTGACCAAATATACAAGCTTGCTATGGAGATAAGTCATAAAAATGCTAAAAATATCAAACAGCTAGAACAGACATGATTAGTCACTACAATAACAAAAATACAGCTTCCCTCACTTTTAAATAAATAAATTATAGAGTTAGGTAAGGAAGAGAAAGACAAAATAATTGAAAAAAGGATTTAACACTGAATAACTGACATTTAATAATGATATCAGTGGGGGTGGAACTCTAATTAAAGGAGGTATTGTTAATCAGAGGTCACAACTCAGAGCCAAAATAAAAAATAAGACTCTTAATTCCTTAGTGAAATCTTTGAGCTTCTGCAAAACTGAAATGAGGTGATTTTCTGTCATAAAAAGGGAGCATTCTACTGTAACTTCATGACTTTGTTTCACTATCTTTGTACAGTACTAGAAGTTAAAACAAACAAACCAAAACCCAAAAAACCTCAACCAACTTACAAGCTGTATCAAGCTGCAGCTCCTTTGTAGGGTAGACTGAGAAAAATCACTCTTTTCCATACAGTAGATTATGCAGTACCTAAATTTGATCCTCTCCAATGAAATCACTTACTATAAGACAGAAAGGTGATTTGCTTATGCTAAGGAGAGTCAATGGGAAGAGTTTGCCCTAGGAAATGGTTATTAAAACTAGGTAGTTCTGATAAATTTGCACAACCCATATAGGAGCTAGCAGTCTTGGTATTTCACTCTAATGACCCTTCATACATACCAACTCTATTATGATAATGTCTAAATTATTCAAAGCAAGATATCATTTCTGTAACTTCTGTAATTTTTCTTCCTGCCTCATCATAACTAAGCATTATATAAAATAAAATTATTTTAAAAGAAAATAAATATGCAGCTTTTTACTGAAAAAAACCCCATAAAATACAGAGGTCATCAATATGAAGATTTACAGGTTTTGGGAGAGAATCACAAGCTCTCTGATGTCAGGAGTATTTTGATGTATTCAAGACTGATGTGAGAAAAGTAAAACTTCCTGACTTTTGCCAGCATTTTCTTGCCTTTTCAACTGCTGGTAGTGCTATGGAATTTACAATAATCTCATTATCTATATTACTTCAGAGAGCAAGACTACTATAACTGCACTCTGTTGCCAATGTATGAAAGCAGAAAAAAAGCACCTGAGGAGAGAAATGCACCACCACCACAGACACAGAGAGAAAAAGGTAAAAAAAAAAATATAAAAAAAATCCATAAGATGGGCAGAGAAATAGCTCAAAGCGTGAAAGGTATGAACTGAACAATAGTTAATAATTACACAAATTCCTTTAAGAAAATATTATTGTTGTATAAAAGCTTAACCAATGAGCTCAGTGTAAAAATAACCTCCTAGAATCAAGTGCACACACCACCAGTAGCAACCATTGAAAAGCATGCATGCATGAGGATGTGCACACTTAGAGCACGAAAGAAGGGAATGAAAGTTTCCATGGAGCAAGTTTCATATCACATCTGCTGTTGCAGCAAAGTGAAATGCTTGTAATCTTCAGATGTGAATCTGGGCTGTATCCAGAGAAGCGTGGCCAGCAGGTCGAGGGAAGGGATTCTCCCCCTCTGCTCTGCTCTTGTGAGACCCCCACCTGGAGTACTGCATCCAGCTGTGGAATCCCCAGGATAAGAAGGATATAGAGCGGTTGGAACGAGTCCAGAGGAGGCCACGAAGATGCTCAGAGGGCTGGAGCACCTCTGCTATGGGGACAGGCTGAGAGAGTTGGACTTCTTCAGCCTGGAGAAGAGAAGGCTCCGGGGAGACCTTATTGCAGCCTTCCAGTACCTGAAGGGGCTACAAGGAAGCTGGGGGGGACTTTTTACAAGGGCCTGTAGTGACAGGACAAGATGTAACAGGTTTAAACTGGAAGTGGGGAGATTTAGATGAGTTACCAGGAAGAAATTCTTCACGGAGAGGGTGGTGAGGCACTGGAACAGGTTGCCCAGAGAAGCTGTGGATGCCCCATCCCTGGATGTCTTCAAGGCCAGGCTGGATGAGGCTTTGAGTGGAAGGTGTCCCTGCCCATGGCAGGGGGCTTGGAACTAGGTGATCTTTAAGGTTCCTTCCAACCCAAACCATTCTATGATACTATCGGGGGGGGGAATCAATTTATCCATTCTGCGGGGTTAAAGTTTAATTTTACAAATACTTGCTGAAATGTTTGCATTTAAGTTTAAATGCAGTAGCAAACTTTTCACTACAGAGAGCAATGGACAGAACATATCGGAGGGAAAGTCACTTAGCCATCAGTTTTGATTAGTGAAACTGAGTATTTTTGAAAGAGAAGCTAATAGGCTAATAATTTCTTAAGTTTCAAAACAGTTTAGGAAAAAGCATAGTTTCATGCATGAATTCATACATCACTATAATGCATACAATACGAAATACAGAATAGTATGTGATATCTCAATGTTTTATAACCAAATTAACCATTCAAATTAACCATTCTGAATTGTTAGAATTTGAGCCTTTAATGCTGTTAACAGTGCCATCAGAAATATCCCAATGTTTTATAACCTCAAATTAACCATTCTGAATTGTTAGAATTTGAGCCTTTAATGCTGTTAACAGTGCCATCAGAAACACATTCTTAATGCAAAAGAGTTACAGAATACAAAATTCATCCACACAATACTATGGGGTTTTATACTGCATATGCACAACTACCTGTGTCTATGATAAGTCTCAGGTGACAAATTTAATGATGCCCTTTAAGTCCTTCAATCAGTCACACAGCTAAGAAATTCTCAGTTTGGAAAAGAATTTTAGTGAATTGTATTGACATGAACAACTATATAGTTGGGATATTTATAACATGATCATTCACATGGTTAACTGCTAAAGCTAGAAATGTTACTATTGGCAACAAGTTTGCAGATGTCTCTTCTGTTCCTGTACTTTGGCATTCTTTATGTACAGCCTAAAATTACATCACTGACCTTATCCAGAAAGTGAAGTATTGCTTTTTGCTGATTCTCCTCATCTGCATTTAGCTTGTGTCTCCCAATGGAAGCAATCAGCTTTGCTTCTTGTTCCAGAAGTCCACAAAGTGCTGCCTTTCTTTCTGCTCCAGTAAGAGTTCTGTTAATCCGTTCAGTCTCCTCCTGCCTCCATACTACAGACACAAATATTTTTGGGCATTTCTTACAAGACATTTTCTAGCGAAATTTCTACTTTCATATTTAAGAAATAACATAATTTTCATTAGAAGTCAGTTTCCATGTTAAGAAACTGATTGATATGCATATTTTCAATACACAAAAAATGGCCCAGAAACAAATGTAAATTATACAGATGTTCTGTGAGAGTGTGTGTGTATATATCAATTCCAAACTGCCAATTCGTACTCCAAACTCTAAAATGGATTAGGAGAAAAAGGAGCTCTATGTGAGAAAAAGAATTTAGCTCTTGTGGAAACGTGTGATGAAGTGATTTCTTCAGAATTTTGCATCTAAAATAACTGTTTGAGTCTCCAACAGCTCCAAAAGCTATGAGCAATAGGGACTTTTTAAACAATTGCTCATCAAAATCTCAAGAAAAGATACCATGCAGATCTTCACAACAGATTAAGGGCAGCTTTTTACTGTGGTACCAATAGTGCTCATATAGTGAGCACTTACTCACTGAGTAATAGTGAGAATATTACTGCTTCTCCCTGCATAAAGAGTAAAACCTGAAGTCCTCCAAAACTGAGATAAAATTGACTGACAGTCATGTTTAGCACTCCAGGTCTCACACTGAATATTTGAGTGGTATCATCTTTTGCCATTTAAGGCAGTTGGAGGCGCATTAATAATCAGACGGTCATAGCTCTACTCTCCCCTTCCTCTTCTACAACAGAATCCTTCAAGGGGAAGGAAGTGGCAAGCAAACCACAAAATAACAACGACAGGCAGCATGTGAATCAGCACATGCTGTAGAGGAATCTGGTCTTCTGACTCTTACGGTAAAATCACCCAACCACAGGAACGTTCTGCACTTAGAAGCTGGACTACTTAATGACAGAAACATACAGAGGTGTACATACATGTGTCTGTCACGGGATATTCTGCAGTACCCATTCTCTTGACTCTAAGAGCTGACACACGGACTGTACGTCCTAACAGAAATCTGTTGGTAAAATCCAACTGAGTTTACTGAAGGGTGTTTTCCTTGGCGTACATTGTAACAATTCTTGGCTTCTCTGAAGAGTCAGCTCCACTCCCAATACCCCTGGAGTTTTGTAGGGATTTTTTTAAGATTCAAAACTTCAACATTCCTGAATTCTCAAAGTGTTGTTATTGTTATATGCAGCTATGCAAAAGCAAAGTCCAGTGTAAAAGAAACCAATCCAATATGTGATGCCCACTTGCTGAAAAAGCCTATAATATCCTGTATCAGGTAAGATTAGAGACAGGAGGAGGGAAAGGAGGAAGGTTTATTTTCTGCCTGTGGCTTCCTTATCTACAATACCTTATGTTTTCCATTTAAAAATATTTCGATTCATTTCCTTAGGCACTCCAAGCCTTGGTATTAATATGACAGCTGTCTGACAAGTTCTGAGTACCCAAAGATATATTTTTAAATAAAGCCATTTCAGCAAACAAAAGCACTGTATAGAATTAATTTGCATGAAGCTTTATATGCCTGAAGGGGGCAGCAACTTCAAAGTTAGAGCTAAGAAGTACAGTGAGGAATACAGAAATGAAGAAGCTGCCAGTTATCAATACTCACCTCCTGATTCACCATATACGTACAACCAAGTTAAAACCATTCCTCTTAGATTATCTGTTCTACAGGCAGAGATTTTACTCATTATCATTTTTATTCCAGTTTTTATAAAACAAATGGTTCATACTTTTCAAATAAATAATAAATATCTCTATATGCAGACACACTGAATATATAGATACATCTAATTTGCACCACACAGTCAACAGGCAAGTTTTTGTACCAACAGAAATTGCTTGTACTGGTTGACCCTGTAATAGTATCCCCCTGTTGTGATCAGCAGCAATAACCTTCACATATCTCTGGAGGACAATAGTCTCATTCTATTACTGTCACAGTGATTTAGCTGGTGTAGACTGTTGACACTATAAGAATGTAAAAGTAGTTTCAAATGCAGGTAAAAAAACCCAACTTCCCAGAAACACTAAGCTCTATTAAAATAAACAACATGACTAGAAGTCATGCTAGAGAAGCAACTAATCAACCCTGGTAAACAAAAACAAAACAAAGACTGACACTAGACCATTATTTCTAAAAGAATGTTAAAAATACGTTTCAAATACTAGAGTTTGTTCTGTTCAAGTTTGAAGTGGCACATGCTTTTTCAGGTTGCCTAGATATTAAATTCCTGAACATACACAGCTGAAAGTTTTATTATTTGTAAATCCAATGACACTAAATTAAGCTAGAGAAACACTTATATAACCATAAGCTTTAAACCTAGAAATATTGGGATTTCCAGGACTCATTCACAACTTCAATTTAGCTTTGTTGTTGCTGTTGCAGATAAGACTCTTCACACCTAATGAAACAAAACAAAAACCAAAACCAACCAAACAAAAACCCACAACCAAGAAAGTGGATTCTAGATTTGACAGCACATTAGCTAGGAAGCAGTTTTTCAAAGAAAATATTGCAGAAAACCAGATACTGAGTAGTAGCACTTGCTGTAAGTGGAAAGAAAGAAATGATTGAGTACCTTGGCTTTTCATTACTTAGTCAGACACACCTTTAAAAGGGCTTGATTCTTTTGAAGTGAAATGCTGCTTCTATGAAAAAAAAGTGGGGGTGGGGGAAACAACCCCTAACAAAACACAAATCTCCTGAAGATATCAGTCCCAAAATTCTGAAGTTTACCACCAGCAATAATTTTTCCATTTGTCACAAAAGCAGTATTTATAAGTCATTTATACATTCAGACGAAGCGATTTGTTCAATGCCACACAAAGTATGACAGTATTAAAAGATTAGCATGTAACTTGGGAATTCATGGATCATGATCCCGAGCTCTATGAATAACACACACCACCAAATTTATGCTCAGTTTACCATGGAAGAAATAGCTGAGATGGTTTAAGGCAGGTCAGGGGGCTTTGCCATGAGGCAGGTAAACCATTAGGCCAGTTCTGCTATAGAGACAATAACGCCCTAACTGCCACAGTTATACCATAAGCAAGCACTGTAGCCTTGAAAACACGAGTTGTTACAAGTCACAATGCAAGCATCTTGCTTAAAAGAAAACATTTTTAAAAGAATTCTTGCTGTTTCATCATATGCTGGTACAAGTCCACCGCTTCCTATTGTTTTTATTTTTCCCAAAGGACACACTCTACGGTTTTTTTTACATTTTCTATATTACTCTCCTGGAAGGTTTTTGGTCAATTATCTGCAGTATTCACCTGTTTTTTCCAGGAAAGTTTAGAGGTGCTTCCCTGTATTAGACACCATCCACTCCAACAGGAGAAGTAAGTCTTTCAGGATGCCCTGTAGGGCTTCTTAACGGATTTTTAAAATTTTGACAACACAGTTTTGCGAAACATGGAATAAATTAGAAAGGAGAAAAAGCATCAGTAGAAAAAGACTAGGAAAAAAGAAATAACCTCAGTCATAGATTGTAAAATTCTGGGCAAAATTTAATCCATTCTAAAAACGCCTATATTAAATGATGAATGATGGATCTTAACACTAATTTCTTCATGGCATTATTTTCAGCATCTTTAATGATTAAAATACTAAAGTAGCTCATCCAAAACCACAGTTTCTGATCCTCTAGCTGACCTTAACATTAGAGATGAATCAAAATAATAATAATAAAACTTCTGTATACCACCATTCTACAAGCTGATTATTTCCTAAAAAGCTGTAGTGGTTTTGGCTGGGATAGGGTTCATCTTCTTCATGGTAGCTTGTAGGGTGCTATGCTTTGGATGTTGATAACACAGGGATGTTTTAGTTATGGCAGAACAGTGCTTACACAGTGTCAAGGCGCTTTTTTCTGCTTCTCGTAATATATGAAATTCAAATAATTATTGTAAAATGAAAGAAATACCACTGTAAGTATAAAAAAAACCACAAACCACCAACAAACCAAAACCCAAGGATCTATAGGAACACATCAAAACCATATGTTTGTTTTAAACTACTGTTTTGCTGATTTAAGAGCACCCTTTTAAGAAAAAACTTACATTCTAAAGCATGGTACAGTAGTTCAAAGTCTTCTTTTGTTTTAGGGTTCAGTCTTCGTTCGTGCTCCCTTCTCAGTTTTTCTTCTTTCTCCTTTTCCCTCCGTAACTCTTCTTGTGCCTCCCATGCCAGCCTTAAGCTCTTTTCTTCCCTCAGTTTTTGTACCTCATTTATAGCACGCCAGCGACGGAAATGTGTCTGTAATACTATTACCTATATGTGATACAATTCCAAAGTTGTGAATTTAAACCAAAACAGCATAATACTTTATTCTTAACCATTATTTTTTCTAGCTGCTTAACTATATTTTCTAAGATTTGTCTTGTACTCAAACTAACTTAAACTGTCATGTACTATTAGTCTAAACACTAGTATGCTTACTTATTTAGGTAACTGCAGGAGTTTAACCAATGACCACCTTGGAGAAACCAGGTTCAAATAATCAACTTAAAATATAAACTGCAATTACAACAAACATTTATCTTTTTCAAATCTCCCCTTAAAAACCATCTTTTGCCATGTGCTATTTTTATTATTTTCTCTTCCGCTTTTTAGGCCGAGGTCCTCATTTTACTATCAACTTATATAGTTTCTAGGTTGGGAATCTAGACACACGTTTGAAAATTTTCTTTTAAATTTCTAGACAGATTTCTTGTCTGCAAATAAAATGCAACTGACTTTGCATGTGTGCTGATCAACAAGTTACCAGCCCTGCATGACAGAACATAAAAAAGAAACCTTTCAAAGCTGTGGCTATTAAAGACTAGGGAAATGTCTGTCGAATGCTGAGGGAGCACTTTGCACAAGCCTGAGCTTCTGCCAGCTGAGTTAGCACTTTCACCACAAGCAGCTTAGCCAGGTCAATACCGTGAGCTTATAAACATTGTTCAGCCCCGAAGGCTATCAAGCACAAAACCACACTAATTAGAGTTATACTGTCTCTAGAGATACCTTAACCTAACATTTCTCTTGAATACGTCTTCAGTTGGTGTTTCGATATGGAACTACACTGCACCGTGTGAATCCATCAACTTGAACCAACACCAAGCTGATGTCTCTTTACTGTGCATGATAGATTACCTATAGATGTATTTCAGATTTCAGTAAGTGGCACTAACAATCACAGTAAAACATATTGTTAGTCCTGAGGAAACAGTTACCTATTTGGGATCCACTTCTACAAGATGTGTATCACTGTCAGCTGATGCTGACCAAATAAAATGTTCTTATAGAAAACTTTTACCCGGAAGATTTCAAAGCATCTTGACAAACGTGTCCATACAATTATCCTACTTAGACACCTGGGGAACTAACGGTTTCTCCATTTAGTTAGATTCAGACTGTCTATTTGAAACAATCAAATTAATAACTAGAGTGTTTACAAGGAAGCGCCTTGCCTAGCATAATATTGGGTGTAGTTCAGTTGGGTGTGCAGTCACTGAATATGTGGTTTTCAAAAATTTCTTCACATGTTTTTTTAATATTTAAGAAATCGCAAGGTCTCATATATCACTAAAAAAACCACAGAGCAGATATCTTCCATATCTGAAAGATTACAGAATGTGAAAATTAAGCAGACATTTTGCAGTTCACTTTTAAATTCACTCTTTGAACATTCTGAACACTCATTAGATATTCAGATACCTTCGTAATACTTTTCTTTACAGACAGTTTCAAACAGGTAAGAACTTACTGCTTCAAGTCTACGTTTGTGGTACTCTTCCGCTGTAAGATACTTTCCAGGACTTATTAGTTTGTCAGTCCTGTTTGACACATACAGCCCAGTTTTAGTCATCTGTGTTGATGTTGTATTTTTTGTTTGTTGTGGCTTATTTTTTTCAAAAACCGTCTGGGGAAAAAAATGAATGTCAGATTATAAAAAAATATACAGAGATATTTTTTCCTCATTACAATAAGTGGCAACATTAGCTATTTGTAACAAGAAATCACAAGACTAACAATATTCATCCACTAAATACTTCCAATTGCATGCTTATTTCTGTTCTACTTCCTCATTCCTGTAGGAAATAATTGTGTGAATGTTCTATTCCATTTGGCAAAACCAACATTCTAAAAAGACACTGCAAAGCCATTACCTGTGTTTCCTACAAAATAACCTAATTCCTTTGTCAGGTCGTTTTTTGGGTATCGTTTGTGATCCTGCATTATGAAATTCCACTCCTGTTATCCTGTTCTTAAATCCACCAAGAAATGGTTTACGATAGGTAGGTCTTTCAATTTTTACAACTACATCTTGGAATGAATCAGAATCTGTTAAAATGGAAGTACCAAGATCAAAATATTATTTCTTTTTGTAACAGATTCAGATTACAGCATGATTACATATTGATACATGTTTAAAAACAGCATTACCTGTTTGTACCCTGACAGTTAGAATGTCAGGCATGTGGTAATCCT